ATATTTGTTGGCGGGTTGGCAGGTTGGTGGGTTGGTGGGTCAAAAATATCAACCTAAACCCGTTTATTTTCGGGTTGGTCGGTGTCAGGTTACGGGTTGGGTCGAGAGTTGTGACCCCTAATTATTTTAACCGGTCAATCTGGTTGTCTGATGAAGTAACATGATAATGTGTCGGTTTTATGATATGACATTCTGTTATGATATTTTAACGTATCAAAATTGATTTTTTTTTTCTAAAAAAGACATTAAGATTTTCTTTTTAGTTTTAAATGTAAAAAAAAACCCTTGTATTTATAGGAATATATGGTTTTTAAATGAAAAAAAGTGTATGTAAATTGTTTAAAATGTAATAAAAAAATTATTGATACATTTTCCAATAAAAATGGTCGGCAAAAACAAAATTAGAAAAAAATGATTTTTGGTTTGGAAAAAAAACTAAAATGTCGAAATTGAAAAAAAGAAATTAAAAATTAATGTCAAAATTGGAAAAAATGAACACTTATTGTCTTTTGTGAAAAAAAAAATCAATTTTGATAAGTCAACATGTCACATCATCAAAAATGGCACGTTATCATGTTATGTCAGCAGATAATCAGGTAGACCGGTCAAGTAGGGATGAGCATGGGACGGAACTGGTACTGAACCGTACCGTTTCCGATTTCTCGAAAAGCGAATTTGGTCGAAAGTCAATCTCGAATACCGAATCGAATTAACATCACCGGCATCGGTACCGGGAATGGTACTGGTTTTCGGTAATCGGTACCGGCGATACCAATTCCTGAATTTCATGTATTTGGAGTACCAAGTACTGTCCTATACTTTTAAATTCGGTACGGTTCGGTACAGGTTCCGGTACGGTACCGATACGGGATCGAGATTTGGGACAAACAGCTCCCTACGATCAAGTGGTCAGAATCATAACAAGTCAAAAAAACATAGGGAAAATGACTTACCAAGGTAATTAACTTTTTGGTATGTTCACATATAGGTAACTGTCTTTTTTTTGTATATATCTAGATAACAAACTTGTTGGAAGTGTTCACATATGACTATTATGACCTGCTATAGCAGGTTAAATCCTAGATGTGAACACTTTCAACAAGTTCGTTACCTAGATGTGTAC